AAGGGTATTACTAGCAATTGTTAGGGGAATAAGAAAATTTTCAACTTTTCTATTACCTAAACAATTTATTATCAAGACTGACAATACTCTAGGTGTCAGAATTAATATTTAATAAAGAGCAACTTTCACATATAGCAAACACAAAATTCATATTTGTATGCTATAGCAAAGTTTGCATAATTGCGCTCCATAGCAAACATATATATGTATAATTCGCTATACATATACAATTGAAAGCTGTCTATTTCGCTATACATATATACAAAAAGAAGCAATTGTATAATTCGTTGGCTCCTCTTCAGATTTGTATAATTTCGCTGGTAGGTCATTTGTATAAATTGTTGTTAGCCTCTCGTTGGCAAGGGAATATTTTTATTGTATAATTATAAGTGTATAGGACGAATATATATGTATTTGCATGTGTATATACAATTTTCTCTCGCTTTATACAAACAGAAACACAATTTATACACTTCTGTTGTATAAAGCGAGAGAGGCGAGCACAGAGGGAGTGAGCGAGAGAGGAGAGTGGCGAGCGAGAGTTTGAGGGAGAGAGGTGCTGGAAAACAGTTTGCTACAGGACACAATTAAATCAAAGTGTGATTATACCATTTAATTTGAATTAATAGTTTGCCATTATGTACAATTTTCCCTAATATTAAATACGTAACTGCAAACAAAAAAAAATGAAAAGTACGAAGCCCCCCACCCCATCCCACTTGAAAACACAACATTTTAAATTTTAAATTTTTAATTGACTCTATTCAGTTACCATTAGAGTTATTTGAGACTCCTTTTTAATAGGTAACTTTCGGAATTTTTGAATTTCAAATAACCACTCAAAAACTGCTATCTCTTTATTTATCTTTTTGCTTTCTTATTTTTTAAACCGTCTCCTCTTAAAGAAAGTAGATATAAACAAAAAAAATCTACTTTTTTCTATAATGTTCTTCACAAATCTGGAGAGACGACACAGGGAGAGCACTTCACTTTGGGATGGTGAATTATCTGATTCTTTTTTTTTATGTACATTATTTTCTTTGTATTATATATAAGACAATGCATATTATTTCATCCCTTTTCTCACGGGCTTCATGAGAAAGCATAACAAAATCTATTTGTTCAATAAGATGTTTTTATTGAGGGAAAAAAAAAGGAAAAAAAAAAGAGGTAAGTATTATTGCTTAATATCACTTTAAATTTTCGTTATATATCTTAATCATATTTTTGTTTAATCTTATTCTCTCCGTTTTTCAAAAAATTAAATTATAATACATATTTAAAAAAATCCGTATGCAACACTACAAGCAATAACTTTTTTGGCATAAAATCTACCAAGTGGCTTATAATTTATTTATTTTTAAAATTTATGTAGGTACACAAAATGTGGATCAAGAATTAGACATTTGCTTTTGCAATATTTATACATAAAGAAGGGTACACACTCTTATTATACGATTTGTATAACAAATGCATGGTGATCCAAGAGATAAATATATATAATTATTATTCTTTATTTCATTTTTTTTGAAATTCTTTAATTCAAATTCTAATCTCTACATTATTTTTAATGCTTGTGTCGTTGAGTTCAAAAAGTGAAATTCTATTGTTTGGAAGATCCTTAAGTATAAAAGAAATACAAGAGGTAGGTATTCATAATTATATTTTTGAGAATTTAACAAGTTTGTTCACTTTGTTAATTTATGTCTCTTTTTGTATAGATTTACAATCTTAGCATAAAATAAATTAGTATGATCACAAATCCAATACAAAAATTTAGCAAATATGATTTAAGTTATTTTAAAAAAATCATGAAAATGATCTCAATTTTTTTGTTGAAGTTATCTAAGATTCTATGTTATCTTGGTAGAGGTTAAAAGATAAAACTATGAGATGTAACAAAATTAATGTAATGCATTTTGGGTAGAAATAGAATAGATGTAAACTCTATTTTTATGAAAATAAGAAACAATTATTATTAGTACATTGCGAAATCATGAAATGCTTGACTTTCTTTTGATTACACATATGTGTTCAAGGCTTATATTGACAAGAGGTTTAAGATGTCAAACCTTCAAGAAATACTTTGTCGGGAAGGTAAAGACTATCTTACATACATATATATTTTTTTCATATATATAAAATAAAAATTTAATCAATAAATTTCAATTTTCATCATATGTTATAGTGATGGTAATTATTAAGCAATTTTAATTTATTTTTGACTTATGAGGAGAGTACTAATTCTTTTGTAATAATTTTCACAAAATTTATCAAAATTAAATGCATTATAATAGAATATTCCTTGCGATTTTGATATATTGTAATGCTAATGCTATCATTACACTAAGAAAATATATAAAGTGCATAACACACATATAATGTGATGCTATTTATTGATTAATTTATTTGATCAATAATATAAAGTTGATAAATAATATTAAAGAATTGAAATAATAGATAATGTAAAAACGATATGCAAAATCATTTAAAAAATAATAATAATCAAAGGTTATGCACATGTGATATGACGTTGCAAAAACATTATTATAATTAGTAAAGATAATGATGAATTTAGAAAAACAAACTTTAAATAAGGATTATTCCATTCCAAGTGGTAGTCTAATACCAAGGCACTTGGTAGTTTTAGAACAAGACTAAAACAAAACAAAAATATTAATAAATTTTATAATTAAAAATTCATTTAAAAATGTCATGACAAAAAAGAAAGAAGAAGAAAAAGTTAATAAATGGATAGTTAAAATACATATGTAAAATTAGAAAAAGAAGAAGACAAATACCGAGAAAAAAAAAAACTAACCCAAATTATCCCTAAAATTTCTCACCCATTTACCTATGTGTGAGACCAACATAAATGTTTTTGAATATCTTTTTTTAAAAAAGAATAAATTTAAAATATTATGAATCTGTATGTTGTAAAATAGTGCCACATATTATCATCAAGATAATTTTTGACTTTTCAGTTTGAATATTTTAAAAAAAAATTATCTTCAAAAAAAATAATTTTATAAATAATTATGTAAAAATTTGTCAAATAAAATTGTCAAAAACACAAACTGAAAGTTATATATTATTAATAATTTGCAGATTTTCTAAAAAAATAAATTTATTAATTAAAAAAATAATCACAAATTACATCAAATGTTTTTTAAAAAAAGAAGCTATATCGATAAATAATTTGAAAATTAAAATATATTAAACAAAAATAACGATATGGACAAAAAAATAAATAAATTAAAACACAATTGATATATTTCAAATTTTGTTTTGCTTCTTTAATAGAAAAAATAGAACATTACTAAAAAAAAATGGAGCAATTTTAATTTTGATTTACGATATTTAAATCATAGGAGAA